TATCTTGGATGATGGGTGGCCTCAACGAAAATGCCAATTGGATATGATAGTTCGTTCACCTGCTAGTGCCATGGACTTGAATGTATCATGGCTTGTGAGATTGTTTTGGTATACGCCACGATTATTTGATCCTTGTTGAGGTTTGCCCCACCACCATTCAAGAAGACATGTGGAGTGTCACATACACCCTCCCTTTCGGGACTTAGCATCCTTACTGAGGTTTGCCTCAACATCGTGGTTTTTCTCATCATCATTCAAGAGGACATACAGAGTAGCTTTGATACCATTTGTAACAACTTAACTTGCTCTTGATATTGTTCGTTTTGGCCTCTTAGGTCTCAATTTTAAAATGCATCAATAGGGGGTAACCATTGTTAACTTATATACTTGGGGTAACCATTGTTAACTTATATACTTAGCATCTCTCTCGTGATTTGTTAATATGGGATTTGTCTACAGCATCATGCTTCTAAAAAATGGTATAATAGACACAAAAGAAGTAAACAAATTTTCTTACATTTGTTAAAATCTTTCAACAAAGAATTGGTGGGGCGAGCCAAGCCCTTGCTATAGTGCAAGGCATGGGCGACTCTTGAGGACCTCAGTAGCAAGCTACTTTTGTAGGCCCTCTCCCTTAACAAATTAATTTAATACCATGTGGGCCAATAGCCCACATATCAGATATTAAACTGATAAGAACAGATACTACACTTGATCTTAGCCAAAAGGCCGAGAAAGGTATGAGTATGATTAACTTTTCAAGTTTACTTTTGTAGTGTGTCTAAGTTTCGTCCTTCTTCTACATAGCCGATGTGGGATTTGTATTAAGGCTAGCATGGACAGCCCATTTAAAGTCTAAGGATCTTTCTCAAAGTGTATTAATTGCAGCATTACAAGTCCATTATTTTTTATCTTAATCATTAGTTAAGACTTAATGACTTTACCTTGAAGGGAGTCTTTCTAGAAATTCTCTCAAAGATATGCTCCAATTAGAATTGACAATTTGAGAATCTAGTGATTGAAATTTTGGACAATCTCACAAAAAACTACCCTTCAATTAATGCTTGAGAACATGCTGGATTAAGCAACTATGTTTGGTTAAATTAACTTTAAACACATGATTACATGATGACATTGACAAGTTCAAAGAACAAGTAGCAAAAGGAGTGCTAGGGACACTCTCTCTAGCACTCTCTTTTGAGCACTCTGTTTGTGATTGCGTCACGTGAAATATAAATTTAATGTTATTAGTATAACTAGTATTAACGTTAAGATGAATATTTTCAAAATTTGAAATTATCACCAATCATATTAAATTTACAATGCATGTGTCCCAATCACATAGAGAGTATCCAAAGGAGGGTGTAAAGTGTCCGTAGCATTCTTTTATGCGGCATATAAAAAACAACCTCGAGTAAAAACACTGTTCCTTATTTGGCAACCTTCGCGTAGAGACACTGTTCTTATCAAGAAAATAGAATATCTAATAAGATAGGGGGAAAATCTTTTGAGAGAGGGACGGCCAACATGAATTGGTTAACCCATTGAAAGTCTTAAACTCAAATTGTTGAGCTCATCCAAAAAGGAGAGCTCTCCAAAAATTGGCGTATGCCACCGAATGCTGCGAGCACACGGTATTCTTTAGTAAAAGGCGAAAGAATAGTTCGCTCTGTGCTCACCGCGTGGCTGCGTGCTTGACAAAAATGTTGATGTGGTTTTAATATTTCCTTTTGAACCTTGTGCTTTCTAATTCATGTTCGGTGTGGGATAAAGTTCTTGGCATCTAAAGATAAGATTTTCTATTTGGGGAACCTATATTGACAACACTAGACTACCCAGCTTAATTATAAATATTTCAACGGGGATTAATATGAATCATGGCTCCAATATATAGTAATTCAACAAATAATGGAATCATAAACTTATTAATCTATGTGTCGTTGTTGGGAGTTATTTTTTCCTTCATTAGCTAGCACACAACACAATTAACTGCATGGAAGCTTGTTGTTTTTTTTTTTTTTTT